GCGGTCGGAAATGTAGGCGAATCACTTGCAGAGTATACCGCCAGTGATACATTCATGAGTCGAGATGGAGGGTTTACTTGGGAGGAGGTACAAAAAGATGCGCACCTTTGGGAATTCGGCGATTCTGGATCTATCCTCATCATGGCAAACGATGAGGAACCCACCGACCACATATTATTCAGCACTGACGAAGGCCGTAACTGGAGAGAGTACATATTTGGCGATGAAAAGATGCGCGTCAAGGAGATTGTAACCGTGCCGTCAGACACCAGTAGAAGATTTATACTCATGGGCTACTACCCTCGTTCTCCTGTAGTGCACGCGGCTGTGCACATTGACTTCTCTTCGTTGATAACGAAGAAGTGTGAGTTTCTTGTCGCACTCTTTGCATACCATTTTGATTATATGGTTCCTAGGCATTCTCGATCTCAATCATCCCGAGGATGATGACTTCGAGTTGTGGAGTCCAAACGAACTCCGCAACGAGCTGTGTCTATTTGGCCGCCAAGTGAGTGGTACTGCCGTTATTTGAAGTTCTGTTCCCACGATAATTGTAGGTACTCTATCATCGCCGAAAACGCGACGCAAATTGCGTTGTCGGAAAGTTGCTAGAATCCAAAGAAAATTTTGTCAAGAACTGTGCATGTGAGGACGTCGACTTTGAGTGGTGTGTGGACATTTCCTTTTCGATATATCGAAGCTTATCATTACCGCTTCTCAAAGCGAATACAACTACAAGAGAAATGCTAGTGGCGAATGTGTGCCCGTCCCGGGGACACAGCCTCTAGCGAGCGACGACACTTGCATAACTGGGGATTACTGGTATGAGCGTACCGCGTACCGAAAGATACATCATTCCAGCTGCGAAGGAGGCATTCGTCTTGATCGTGGCCTTGAGCACCCGTGCCCGGGTTACAAGAATCATGGAGCGTTTTTCTGGTTCATATTCCTCGTCATTCCATTCGCATTTGCGGGCCTTGTTGGTTGGTACTATTATCGTAAAAATGGCTTTGCGAGAGGGTGTGTGGCATCGTTTCTCTGCGCTGCATTGAGACTTACATATTATGCCGCAGAACCATTCGGCTACCGGGTGGGGATGCGGGCCGAAACTACAACTATTACAGTGATTCTAGCCTTAGCGCAACAATTGTGTCCATCCCATGGTATCTCATGGGCCTCGCAAGTATGGTATGGGAAGCGGTCTCATCAAGACTTGGCAGTGCAACTGGTGGGATGCGTGGACGCAATGGTTACCGGACGGTCCCTGTCGATGAGGATGCTCAGATCCTGCGATTTGAAGATGATGATTAGTTATCCAGGAAGGAATTGGCAATACCTCTGGACTATTTTTCTTAGTTTGCTTTCATTGTGCACTGTTATGTTTAATATCCTATTTTATTGTATCATGATGATACTCCAGTAGCTGAACCTAGACAAGCACTCCAAGAATGCAGTAGCAGGAAGTGTTATTGTATCGGAGACAGCATTACTATATGTCAGCTCAGGGGTATTGCTACAGGTGTTCATACAATAGATATTAAGTGTAGTGGTAGCACAGCGAGGGAAAAGAGCAATACATGCGAGGGCTTCTAGTCAATTACACCGAGATGGTCCTCTTTAATCGTCCCTATAGCAAACTGGTCGTTGCCGGCAGTGAGAACCGATTCATAGTGTGGGCATAGGTTTAAACTTACGATCTCCGTCGCGTCCACACGCGTACCGACAATTTTTAGTCGAATTTTAGTATTCTTCTCAATAATCTTTGCCCCAATAGTAAGGCGTGAATAGGCTGAGATGCTAACGATACGTACCTGTTCTTCCGAAGCAAATGACGGTGGATTAGAATTCGGATCAAATTTCATGTCCGGATGAATGAGCTGGGATTGGAATGAGCGGCCGTCGAGGTTCAGGTGTATCATCACCACACTTACTTGATGGGACACAAAGACGGTCAAGGGTCCCACGTCTGCAAAGAAGCCCATCTGAAGAACAGGTCCGCCTTGGTAATCTTAATATACGATGTGACTGACAAACCTTTGTCACGTTGTTCACCACACCGTCAACGACTTCTCCCTTGAACGGCTTGAAAACAATTGCTCGATAGCGAGTTATGAACTCGGCCTGGCCACTTCCGCTGAGAACCATCCCCTTGCCGATATCGAGAATGGAGACGACAGCGATGATATAGCCGAATTGGCCAGAACATGTACCCTCAACATCAGAATAGAGTTTTGATTCAAGGAACTGCAACATGCGCGGGCCAAAATAGGACGGATGAAGGAGGATTGTATGAGAAAGCTCTTTCTGAAGAGTTCGAGCCTGAGCGCATGCGCCGTAACGGCGAGAGAACACTCACAATGAAGAACATAGTCACCGCAGGTCACTTCAACATCCACTAGTTCAAGCTGAACTCGAATCTCCAACCAATCTCCAACCAGCGACTCAAGTTAAACAGAGGAAAGACGAGTCATATCTTCACACGGTCCACTAGGGGAAGTTATTACTGGCCGACTAGCTCAGTTGGTTAGAGCGTGGTGCTAATATAGCGACGCCAAGGTCGTCGGTTCGATCCCGGCGTTGGCCATATGAACCTTTTGATTTTACTGAAGAAATCATTTTTACCGCTGCAAGTGGTATTCAATACATTCAAAATATTAAGACTTTCATCGAAGGAAAGTATGATTTTTGAATTTGCCGGCGTTGACGTCTTCTGTCCTCCAGCGTAAGTCGCAAAAAGTGCAGATCGAGTCTGCACCACAAGTTCTGGGAAGCTGTGCAGAAACGAATTGGTCTACGAGCACGCAGTTTTGACAAGATCAGCAAGAGCCATTCTCGAAAGGAGCGGTTATCAATCTGAACAGCTATAGTTCTATGGAAAATATTTCATTAATTGCTAATAGATATAAACACTTGAGTAGTATGGCTACAAGGATGGAGCGGGGATTGTAGAATCAGATATGAATAGAAATATGCAATAGACGGTTCTCCTAAATGATGTAAGTAATAGCAACGTATGGCTTTGAAATGAAAATACGGGTATCGGAATCATGGATCTCTGTTCAAACTGGAATCTCCCTTCCAGTCGTCGTTCTATCACGCTTCATGGGCCGCGGGTGCGATATTCGGATTGGCAGCATCAGGAAGGTGATTATCCTTGATGTCCAGAGACTTTCCATCACCACTGGTACGGACCATGACTACGTCACCATCCCTGTCGCCAAAGCATAAATGTAAATGAGAATGCGTATCACGATTTGATTCTACACACACCTGATGGTTCCAGAAAGCATTTTCTGTGCGAGAGGGAAGAGCACCTTCGTTCGCACAACTCTCGCAATAGCGCGAGCACCGTAAATATCTGAGTATCCTTGCTCCGCTAACCACTGACGAGCCTGTGCGTCCACGTCCAGAGAAATCCTGCGGTTCTTGAGTCGGGAAGCAACATCATCCAGGCGCAGCGCGACCACTTTGAGAATCGAGTCTCGAGACAGCTTGTTGAAGACCAGCATTGAATCCAAACGGTTCAACAACTCCGGCGGGAAGTATTCAGAGGTACGCTCCAGGACTTCATCGCGTGCCTGAGGTGTTACCACACCATTGCTGTCGGACGCAGAGCTATGCGCAAGGATATCGCTACCTGTGGAAAATGTGAAGCTTTCCCAGACACCGTGCCATCGAACAACAACGAACACACCTAGATTGCTCGTCAGGCAGATTATTGTATTCTGCAGAAATGAGTGAGCGCGCAGAGATCAACGGGCTGGTCATATCACTCTTACACACCTTGAAATCAACCTTGCGTCCTATGGCGAGCGTCAATAAGTGTATCCATGTGCTAGATAGATTAAAGCTTGCCTTGAGAATCAGTGATGCTGCCTTCGTCGAGTATCTGTAATAGGATCATCGCAACATCCTGCTCCAACCACGTTAGCGGAAGTTGTATTGCTACAAGTTTTCCTGAAACAACCTTGTGTGCTTTCTCCAGCTCATCGAGCAGAATCACAGCTAAACAAAACGGGTATTAGCATTGGTCCCCAAATTTACAGAGATGGAGCTACAAACCATACGGTTTCCGACGGACAGCTTCTGTTAGCTGACCTACAAAATATTACCTTCAGACAGCTGACCGTGTAGTCAAGAATATCAATATCAAACCTCCTTCCTCAAACCCAACATATCCTGGTGCAGCACCAATCAAACGGGACATTGTATGCCGGTCATGGTACTCGGACATATTGATATTGATCCTGAACACCAATCGTCAACGATAGCTTCATCTAGACATGACTAGGAGGTTCTCACAGGCCTCGCTGTTCATCATTGAACAAAAACGCAGCTAGCGCCTTACACAGTTCTGTCTGGTATATGTAAGTCTATATCTCGAAACGTATGCGCGGAAGACTGACCTTCCCCACACCGGTAGGTCCCAGGAACAGGAAAGAGGCGACCGGCCTATTTGGAGCCTGGAGACCAGCTCTGGAGATTCGAACAGCATCGCTGACGGCGGACACGATATGATCCTGGCCAACTACCCGTTGCCGGAGCGTGTCGTCCATCTAAGTTGTTAACATAGCCAAATAAGTAGGAACATCGAACAATCGAATGAAGTACTCACATGGACGAGCTTATCCCTTTCGCCCTTGAGTAAGTTCTGCACTGGGATACCGGTAGACTTTGCAACGACTCGCGCGATGTCGTCGGACGTGACGCGATCGTGCAGCATCGGCATAGGCCCCTCGGCTTCTCCGTCCATCCGTTCTGTCTCTGAAGGCAGCTGTCGCTCCAGCTCGGGAATCGTCGCAAAGCGCAGCTGCGATGCGCGCTCGTATTGGCCCTGCCGTTGGGCGACCTCCAACTCGTGCTTTGCGTCTTCCAAGCGCTGCTTCACATTTTTGATGCGCTGCAACCGTGCGCGCTCTGTAAAGCTCAGGCATTCTCATCTTTAGAGCGCAGATTGCATGCAGACTCACCGGCCTGCCAAATCCCCGTCAATCGCTCTGCCTCTGCGCGTTTCTCCTTCAGTGACTCCTCCACCTTCGTCCGTCGCTCGACGCTGAACACGTCCGATTCGTTCCGTAGACTTTCGCGTTCAATTTCGAGCGTGGTTAGCTCCCGATCGAGCGCCTCCAGTTCGTCTGGTTTCGACTCTTGCGCCAACCGCAGCGCTGATGCTGCTTCGTCCACCAGGTCAATCGCTTTGTCAGGTAGGAACCGATCCGAGATATATCTTGCACCGTACACAGCAGCTATGTGGACGATGCCGTAAGCGTGATGATCTAGTCAAAAGAAACACTAACTTGCCAGTAACGAGTGACCCGTCAGAGATGCCGACACCATGGTGCACCTCGTAGCGCGACTTGAGGCCCCGGAGGATAGAGATGGTGGCTTCAACGGATGGCTCGTCAATCTGTACAGGTTGAAATCGTCTCTCAAGAGCTGCATCCTTGCCAATTGTCTTGCGATATTCGTCGGCTGTTTGAGGATGTAATTTGAAGTCAGTTATGGCTACGACTTTCTTACTTGAGCCTTACGAGTTGTCGCGCCCACGAGTTGTAGTCCTCGCGCTAAAGCTGGCTTAATCATCTGTCCCGCGTCGATGCTGCCTTCCGCCTTGCCCAGATTGAAAAGTGTGTCTGAAGTGTAAAGTGGGTGTGTACATGGATTTCATCACTCGGGAGTAAGCGTTACGCACGGACTTCGTCAATGAAGCATATCACTTCTCCCGCCTGCAATGCGCGTCATGAGCTGACACTCGATAAGTTGGACACAAGCCCCCTTACCTGATCTTCAATGTCTCGTATAAGCGCCTTGAACTTTTCCTCAAATTGTCCACGGATTCCAGAACCGGCCATAATGGCTGCCAAGTCTATTGAAAGCACACGCCTGCTTTGGAGTGACTGAAGGCGGTATGTAAGGCTGGTAGAGGGGGCCGGGAGAAATGCGTGCACACCTCAGGCACTTCTTTGGCTACTATCCGACTGGCGAGGCCCTCGAGAATCGCAGTCTTTCCAACACCGGGGGGTCCTATCAGCTGAGTGGCCGTGTGTGATTAATGTGCAGAAACAGCAATGTGGATAAGCGATATTCGTACCACCGGGTTTGATTTTGTTCTTCTGGACAAAACTAGCAAGGGGTTAGTACAGAAAACTTACACGGGTATATGTGGAAGATACTTTGAATGGTTCTCCTGATTTCTGGTATGGCGTCAGCTGTAGAACGCGATGACATGGTGGATATACGCACCCTCGTCCCTTCCAATGGTTGGATCTAATTTGCCGTTCTTCGCGAGCTCCGTAAGGTCTACACTCTGTCATACGTCGATTTTCAGCCTCTTCTCCCGCACATTGGGTGCAGCCACCGTCTGTACTGGCCTCGCCTGAGCATAGACAGTGGCTGCATTGGCACATGGCGAGACTCACGTATTCCTTCAGCGCGTCTCCCTTCTGGTGCTGCGGTTGCATCATGAAGGACGGCATCCCACCCCCCATTCCACCAGGGCTTTGAGCATATCCACGTCGAGAGACGAGAGGTGTGCTTGAAAGCCGAGTGCTCGGGCACTGTAGAGGCAAGTTCTGGATTGGTGAAGAGAACAGTCGGACTCGGAGTAGAGGGTGTTGAATAAATGGAATGGAATAGACATGGATCCGTTTGGGAGTTGTGATAGAGGTTCGCAGCATCTTGTCCGACAGGGCGACGAGAGCGAGGAGAAGGAGGGCAACTTGATGGCCGATCCTTTCGGGCAGTTTGTATGTCGCTCGATGCCGGAACCTTCCAGTAGTGACGATCACCTCGTTCCGGAATCTTACTACATACACCAGTCTTCAAATTGAGGTACTCACGCTTGTTTTTGCTCGTTGTTGCTCCAGTACTTGTTCAATCCAGTCTATCGTGCGTAGCCCAGTCGAACTTGACACAAGATGGCCGTCCACGCCGCTTATTAGCCAGCCCTTGGCCGATCTCTGTAAAGTATCAATCGATCCCATGTCGAGCTTTGTCTTCGAGCAGATGCGTTATGGTACATCTCCAAGTGCGTTATATGATACTCGACGTTCGAGTGACATGCTGACATTCGATTCAGAGTGGTTCTTGCTGCCCATTCATAGGTGAAGATTGTAGTCTCGCCGCGAACTTGTTCTCCGATTTGCATTGCAGCCGACGGCCGTCTCCGGCTAATGACGTGAAATGTTCTCATGTGGTGTGTATTCCACGGGGGCTGTCATCCAGAACAGTAGCATCGCAATCCTACTGGTAGTAAGCCAAGACTCCTCAACAAGGACTTTCACGGTTCTAGGCAGTCAGTAGGAAAGTGGGTTTGCACAAATCTTCAGTAGTGTTAATGATCCTTTTTTTTTTGCAGCTCCGGCTTTCTCGGGGGTGTGTTTTTACGGCCCCAATCTCAGCTCGTCGCCTGTGTATGCTTGGTAGCACCACGATTGGCTCCAATGCGCCAACACGCGGAACAAGAGTCCTTGGCCTGGTTGAGGTCAAGCGTTCGTTAAACACTGCTGATAGTAGAGGCCTGTGCAGTGACACGTGGGGCTCGAACGTTGCAGCAGAGTCGATGCACAGGGCCACAGACGTCGTCTAGTCATACAGATCATAGCAACGACCACATAGATATCGTCGTCAGTTGCCATGATAGGTATCCACTGTACTGCGTATGCAAGTAAAGTTCCACGTTGCAGATGGAGGAATAATTCGGATATGCAGGGGCTGCTGGTGTTGTGTATACTCGCCGTATGGGGTTGTAATACGCGAACTGGTGAGCCCATTGACTGAACACGCTGTCATCATTGCATTCATTCTACTTCTCTGCAAAGTCTCTTCCACTTATCCTTGACTTCGCGCTGACGGTCTTGTCCGATCACTCTTGAAGTGTTATACTTGCATTCGACTGCCTGCAAACCGCGTGGCGGAATACATGCACTAATGATACAACAACAAGATACGGTTGCCACACAAGAATATTTGCCAGAGTCGATTTCAGGAAAGATGCGCTGATTCATACGTCCCTCATTCCCGTGTTGTCGGCGCACACGATCTTGGCATTCTAACGTTCTCCAGTTCCTCAAACCATCCGCAAGTCGGTACACGGTCACACCAAATCGAAACGTACCGCGGACATTCAAACCTTGCTCTTAGCTCCAAGACGAGCGGGGTGCAAACTACGTGAGTAGCCCAATATTGCGTCTTGATTATACTGCATATGCACACGCATGCAGTCAACATAGACACTCCTGGTGATTTGTCAATGTCAGACGAACACAAATGGTTCTCAATACTCTGCTTACTGTGACGTCCTGTCCATTCAAGGTCGCATCATACCTGCTTTGTCAATGCTTCCACTCTCATTTCCGTCAACACTGTGGAGACCTCTAGCCCGCATGGCTTATTTTAGCAAATGTATTCGATAAGCGATCGCTTGGACCAGATCTTCACCGGAGCACTGTACACTTCGCCGCGTTGCAGTGTTCGGACAACTATGCGCTCCGCTCGCTGGGACTGTGCTTCAGAAGGAGGTATGCCACTCTATCCAGAGTTGAATCGATGCCGAATCATACTCTCAAAGGTGTTACGCGTCTCAGGAAAGGCTTTGCTGGCAGCCTTCTCATTACCTTTTCAGTTTCAACCATGGATCCCTTGTCCCATACCGGTGCATGCGGTCATCTCCTTCGGAGATACCTGACTCGCAGACATTGCCTACAGCATCCTGACTTAAGGCTGCACACAGCAACTGCCGAGTGCAAGTCGGCGTATATCCACATCGTTCATTTACTGGTCTCTGTTGCACGCGGACAGACCCACGATATGGCTTAACAACTTTCACTTGGCAGTCGAGTCCGCACCAATCGTACACATTATCTGCATCCCTCGTGATCCAGCCGACAGCTGCGTCCGTCGTTGTGTCTCCACTGGCGTATCACGAAGGGAAAATTCAGTCTCATCGATATATTTTCGTAGTGCTGAGATGCCACATGTCTCGAAAGACACAGCAAGCCCGTTATGAGCCAGCTGCCATCCAATCACGCGCGCAACTGCCCGGGCTGTCTAAAGAATAACAGACATGGGGCGTCGAAACGACACGCTCCTGTGCTGTGCACGCGTGGTGGCTGCAGAAGTGCGTCGTGTACATCTTGTGTAGTCGGCATGTAACCATCGGCGATTGAGGGGCAGGAAGCGTATGCAGGATTCTGAACGCTGATTGCGCTTGCTCAAAGTGGAAACTTAACAATAGCAAGTCATTCGAACGAAGCAAGGCGGGCGAACTAGTCGCAGGCAAAGGAGGAAAAGGAAGCGTGGCCCAGCGAAATTTGTGCATATAGGCGACGAATCCGAATTCCGGGCTATAGATGCAGATGTGAGCACATTTCTAGCAGCATACCCGAGCTGTACAATACTTCCTTTTCATACCACCCCTGCTCCTGGTGGAGTCCGTCTATATAATATGCTGCCCTTTATTCCGAGGCCATTGTCTCGCCGTCGTCATCATATCCTACGCGCAAGGGGTGTCTTCCCCAGACTCAGAGCTGACTAGACAATTCCTCCGTGCTGCTCTGCCTGCCGTGCGCACACAGCAGTGAACACGTTAAACACAGTCCCGGGTGCGGGCGCACATTGCGGCACCACTATTCCCCGCAGTGCCAGTGTTGCTGCGCTATTCTCTTCCCTTCGATCATATCATTGTGCACGGCTGCTCAGCGCCCAGCATGCATATCGTGATGGAGTAGTAGGAAAGACTAGAGTGATCATGTGAGGACCGCCAGATTTAAACGGCTGCGCCGCGTTGCGTGCAAGAGCGTGTCCCTCGCCTCGTTGTGAGGTAGCGGCGACTACGGCGCGGTTCAAGTGGGAATCCTGGATATAAATGGGGTTTGAGTGTTAAGAAATACTGCGTGAGGGGACGTGAGATTGTCTGATATAGATTGGGTACGGACCAAGCAGCTCTGATTTTTGTTTGTTTCAAAAATGCAGGCAAAAAGGCTTGCGCTTCTCCGGATATGGCCACACTGCGAGATTCGCGGAGAAACCTCTGTAACCAAAAATGCAACACCTGGCCGTTGTCTCTTGGTTGATGCCCAGCATACAGCCGTTTTCCAATGCTGATCTACTAACAGGGCGCATCTGGGTGGAAGCATGAAGGATGACAAGGCACAGATACCGACAGCTGAGACTTCACTGTAGACCCTGATAACATGCTGGGATCATCCAACTTGAGTTGGTCCCGAGTTCCATGAGCCTGGTCAGGCCCCGGTTGAGGGTTGACATTGAGCGAGTTGGATCAGGCGATGCTAGAAGGCGACCAAAGCCCCGCCGCCTTGCTCGACGACCGTGCAACATCACCACGGGCTCGAGCTCATCTTGAATGCACAGTCTGCCATTTCCCAGTCTGTCTAGTAAGCGTCCAAAGAAATGGCCTGAAGATAGGGATGCAGAGAGGAAGAATGCGAGGTCGTTCAGTCGCAGCCCGCGCACTTGGGAAGCGCCTTCGAATGGGCCGTTGCTCTACCTCTCTGCTCTGCTTCTTCTCGAGTTTGGACGACCAGGCCGGCGCTAGCACTCGCAAATTTCTTTAATATACTGATTCTGGTCCAGTTCGTTCTCTTCAGCGCAACACGGAGTTCTACACTGTCAGAAGAGTCAGCATGCTAGTCTGATTTTCGTAATGCATATCGCCGAACCTTGGCAACAGCATATATACTTGCATGTGGCGGTTTGACAACCATGTTGGTGCACATAGCCTCATATTCGCTCGGGTCATGAACCACAAAGCCAATTTTCGCAAACGATCACCGGCGTACCGCGTATGCTTCTGTCCCTCGCCCTGCAATTCTAGGCATAAACTTGTCTTGATACACCGTCGCGTGTGTGGCGCTTTCAGACGATGATCGTCCACGCTGAGCTATTTTCATGTCCTTAATACGCAGCTCTTGGATGTATGATGCTCGGCCGGAACAAGCATTCAGTATTTGGCGAACACGGCCACGTTGAAGGATCCACTCATTTGGACAACTCAGAGGGCGAGAGAGAGAGAGAGGGTTGAATGTGTAGAGAACATCCAGGTGCACCCCGTAAACTCGCTACTAATTCAGTGTCGTCTCCTGGTCTTCTGTCTCCGAATCTAGAGGCGGGTTGCTCGTTGTCCACCTTCAGTCGATTGATGATGAATTCAGAACACCCGGCAAAGCAACTCCGCGGAGCAAATAATTCATGTATCAGTACAAAGTTGTTTTCAGCAAGCAGGAGGAACGACTAATGCAGAGGTTTTCTAGTTGTCCCGTGGCTCACATTGACTTTGAAAGTATGACTTATGCGGTGTCTCAAGGTGTGTAGTGCGCTATGCTTCATGTTCGAGCCACAAGCTGAAATCCAAATACAGAGGTCTTTGTTGCCAGCAGTCGAAAGACCCACGGTCATGATACGTTTTTGCGGTCTAGGCTGTGCATATCGCGGTTGTCTCCGGCTGTATTGGGTTATCTTCTATAGTGCGGATTCCACATGGATTTTGAAGTAGAACAAGCCTGGTATCGCATATACGGCCCTACGGCGAAGAATTTTGCACTATTGATTGCATATCGTGGTTAGGAGTCGGGCACGCCAGTTCCAATGGAACAAGGTATTTGTGAGAGCGGAATCATTTGTAGTTCACGGGAGGGAAACTAGCGGCGATGTTCTTTCCAGCGGGCGTGAACAGAGAAGCTGTCACGAAGGTGATGCCCGAAACCACCATACTGAGCGCGCGCGATGAACATAGATAACGACTTTTCCTCTAGACCGCTCCCTTGCCCCCTCTCTCCCCCTCTCCTCCAGCTCCAGTCTCACATCATTGTGTCTCGTACGACCTTCAGTGCGGCTGAGTTTATCGAGACAAGGCCGGTTCTTCACACAGCCATTGGCAAAGGGTCATGATTGTACTCATGAATGAAAGCAGGTCTAGCGCGAGAGCACTTACCGTCTGGCGTCGTCCGATTTGCATCGGACGTGAACTTTAGCTATCATGACGACCAGCTTATCTGGCCTTGTCACGATTGAAAACATACAGTATCGCAATAGGGCGATTCTACCCAACGACAACGATGCAGAACAACTAGTCTGTGTCGTTCCTGGTCCCGAAGACTCTGACCTTCAAGTGGTGCGTATCTACCTTTGAACCTGGTTGGAAACGCGACATATTCATTCTAATGTGATGGTTCAGTGGGAAGTGATCCCTAGCACTAGCAATCGATATGAGATCAAGAGTCACAAATTCAAGCAAACAGCCTATGCAGAGTATGCGTACGAGCATCAGAGGCTCGTGGCTAGATCTAAGGTTTCATTCTGGTGGTCGATTCAACCAGCAGCAACATATGGGCCGGACACTTACTTGTAGGATCCCCTTTTGACAATGGTCACTCAGTAGGAGCCTTACAGACCGATTAGCATTCGACATTATGTGGAGTCAAACTTATGCTGGCACTTGAATGATGGGACTCATAACACACCTGTGAGCTGATAGCTGTTCGGCTCACATTGAAATCGGATTCAAGTATGCTGGTACTAGATCTGCCTGAAGGATTTCGCGCAGGATCGTCAGAGTATTTGGAAAGTATGAGTTTTTTGTACTCTGTGGGATTTCTGAGTTCACGCTGTGATGATAGATTATTCCGTATTCGCTTTCCTGCATCAGTGGAAATGCCACTCAAGCCATTCAGGCCTCTCGCCCCTCAATCACCCCACCCATTTCGGCTTCCATGACTGAGCCTTTGGAGATGTTCAACTCGACAATGGATGTATATTCAGAGGTACTGGTATTTATTGGTTGAGACTTGGTTGAGACTGATTGCTTGGAACAGGTTTGTCCTTCTACGGCTGTCGCACTGAAGCTTCTGCGGTGTGCGTCCGAGGTTCGCCGCTCGTTTATTCGCTGCTTTTGATCTAGGCTGATTGATCGCCTGATCAGATGATTGTCGACTGTAGCAGCATCGAAGCATCGAATGTCCATATATCTAGACTGCTTGGAAAGATCAAGGTCGTATACGGGCTGCTCTTGGAGAGGAGATCGTCAATTGTCAAATCCGATATGGAAGAGGTCTTGGTGAGGTTAGCACGGCAGATGCTGGAGTGTGCCGATTTCGTAGCATATTACCCGGAGAAGGTAGCGTTTTGTAAGTAAGTCTTGCAATCCGCCGGCTGCCGCTGAGACGTAGCTCTATCTGGCAGGGATGAAACACAAGAAGCATATTGATCGGGAGACACGTGGGGAGGTTCAACGCTTCAATCTTGTCTTAGACAGACTCATCGACTGCGTGCAACGAGGCAGTGCTGATGTCAACTCAATCCGTATCCATAGATCCGGTGAGTGATCGAGTTTTTCATTCCAACCTATCTTTGTATTCAAGATTGGCGAGGTAGTTTTGGATGTGGACTTGAGCCAGCTTGAATACGTGACCGGAGCCGGACTAAACGGATCCAAGCAGTGTCTTCCAGGGACCCGAACAGAGATTTCCACCATGCTCAAGGACTTCGTCTACGCGAATGGAGCGGATGCAAAGCGAATCTTTTGGTTAAATGGGATGGCAGGCAAGGGCAAGTCGGCGATTGCACACACGACGGCAGAATGGTTCGAGGCGCGCGGCGGGCTGGGGTCATTTTTTTGCTTTGATCGAACACGGACAGCAGATGGGCGACACAAGAAAATATGGACTACTATCGCGCGCGATTTGGCCAATCATGATCCCCTCTTCCGCCGCGAGCTCGCTCATGTATTAGATGATCCTAATGGACTCAGGAATACCGAGTATTCCGCTCAGCAATGGACCGGATTGCGCGATGTCCTGAACAAAGTGACATCAACGATCATGGATGTGCCTGTCCTTATCGTCATCGACGCTCTGGATGAAAGTGGTGATGAAGACACTCGTAGAGAGATCCTTCAGCTCCTTTCTGGCCGGCGAGGCACAATTGCGAATCTTCCCCCAAATGTCCGTATTGTGATTACTTCCCGCCCTCTTCCCGACATTCGTCATGGCTTGGACAAAGTGCCACATGTTCAGCACTTTTCCCTGGATGATATCCTCCCCGAAAGCGATATGAAGAAGTACATCGACGCCGAACTGAATCGTCCAGGTGCCTTTGGGGAGGATGACATTACCGAGTTTGCACGTAAGTCTGATGGTGTGTTTGAATGGACCCGACTCGCATGCCTGTACATCAGGGAGGGGGCCCTGTTGTATAAGGACCGATTCCGAACCGTGATCTCCGGCACCTCAGCGAAGGGAACGCAACTGCTGGACCATATGTATCGACTGACGTTGGAAGACACCCTGCCCAAGGATGACCGTGTGAATGGAATTGTCGTGTTCTGCTCTGTGATGGGACAAATTGTTGCCTCAGCGGAGCCTCCCTCGATATCTACTTTAGCTGCAATGAGACAGCACTTGACATGGGAAGGTACTGCGGGCGCAGCACTACAATCCATATCTGCGCGGGACGTCGTCGAACATCTAGGTGCCCTTCTCACTGGCGTCACAGACAATTGCACACCTATTCGGCCTCTACATGCATCTTTTTATGACTTCCTGGGAGACAAAACTCGGAGCGGGGAATTCTATGTGGGAGAATTATCTACACATCACCGAAAGCTGGCGTTTGCATGCCTGGGTGTCATGAATGCGGAACTCCGATTCAACATATGCAAGTTGAAGAGCTCCTACGTACCCAATTCCGATGTTGCTGACATGCCACAACGCATCAAAAAGTTCATTTCCTCTCAGTTAAACTACTCTTGTCGATTCTGGACATTCCACGTGTTGGCCACGCCTATCGAGCAAGCTCTGGCAGACAAGCTCTGGCGCTTCTTCGAGGAGAGTGTACTGTTCTGGCTCGAGGTGCTGAGTCTTACACAAAGTCTGAGTGGTCCCGCGTCAGCGTTGTATTCAATTTCATGCATGTTCACGGTACGTCCTTGTACATCGACGTTCGGCGGTCATTCATGACGTCCACATCACAGGACAAGCAGAATCACGCCCAGCTTCGAACTGCCATAATTGACACGGAGCGATTCATTCGAATGTTTTCGGCGACCATGCTGCGAAGCACGCCACATCTTTATCTGTCCGCATTGCCGTTTGCACCAACTCGGTCACGGGTTCTTCAAAAGAGCCGTGCCAAGTTTCCCG